TTAGGGGTTTAGGGTTTAGTGTTACCGAGGACTGAACTCAATCAAACATGACCCTTGCCACCGGCCCGGGCGAAGTATATCCTGTAAGAAACCCGGGCTGTCAGAATAGAGAAAAGCCCACGCTTACCCTGTACCGCGGAACCGAAATCACTCTGAACATCTCTAAACAACGATCCAATGATCAAGCCCTGAATCAACCCAAAAACCCCCGAGCCAGGCATCTGTATGCAGTAATCGATAAAGGCCCGGAGTGCAGCTTTAGCTCCAAGCTCGTAGTCGGTCTCGTAGCCTTTGAAAGCACTGATGATTTCCCCTGATTCGAAAGTTCCGGATGTTTGGGCGCCCATGGAGCCCAAGTTTAAGGCGGGGCCCAACCCTTAGCCACTCAGCCTTCCCACAAAAACACCCAGACCCATCAGTAGGAGGCGGCCTGTCCTCGGAACTAGAGGTTGGGGAATGTCTCGGAGCACCCTTTCTCCGATTGATGGTGCCCACAAACCCATAGAAGCCACAGTCCTCAAGCCCGGACCCCCTAATGTAGGGGCCTTAATAATTGGAACACGGATTTGGGGGTTCCCTATATTAAGGCCCTATAGTAAGCTCGAGAGCAGCGCCCGAAGCCCTGAACTCTCAAGATCCTCACCGCGGAGGGGCCTCGCACTCGGGTAGAGTTTAAGCAAATTACACCAGGCCTCTTGAGGAGTACTCGTAACCGTTTGGTGTAGAAGCCGTAGCACAAGATATAGCAGGATTAAGGCACTGCTAGCCGGGTTTGTGTTGAGTTTTCTGACTTATAACTTTTTAACATTACCAGGCACCCGTTCATGTTCGTGGAGAGCCGAGCATCTGAATGGAATAGTGTCTTACGCTGCTGGGTGTACACGATTCTGAAGCTCCGCACTCACATTCGGGTTTAGGGCTCAGGGGTTTTAGGGTTTTTAGGGTTTTAGGGGTTTAGGGGTTTATGCAGTCGAGTAGGGAACTCCAAGAACTAAAGACACCGAGAAAAAGGGACCTAGAAAACCCCTTAATGAAGGAATATACCTTAAATCTTATTAGGGTTCCTCTTATATAATTTAAGGCATATTCCTCAATTAAGGGGTTTTGGAAGCCAAATCCCCATCCAGGCCCCTCGTCTCCAAAGGGGACCCTGGACCTCCTCCTGCCCCTAACCCAGATCCCAAAAACCCCCAGCCCTTCACCCCTACTTGGAGGTTCATGGGTAGTTATAAGTGGGGCTCTAAGTCCCCTATTTTGGGTTACATCTATAGCTACTCTACTTATAACTCCACTTATAACTACCCATGAACCTCCAAGTATGCCCCATATATGCCCTACTATAAAAGGATCATGGGCCTTGGTCAAAGGCGACGTAGCTATGGCTATACTTACGTATCACCCAACCTGAGGCAAGTTTAGCTTTCCTTAAGTACCAAATCTTCCGAATAACCCCTAATTAATTATACCCTGAATCCTTATAAACCCTAAACTCCCTACGCCCTTACTATAAACCCTCAGCCCCAAACCCTAAATAGCCTAAACCCCAAAGCCTAAACCCTAAGATCCGAAACCCCTCATCCCGTAAGCCAACCCAGGCCAGCCTCTGAGGACCGACTGCTGCTCCTCAGAGAGCTCCGTGTTCACGGCCAAGAGCTTCATGAAGGCCGCCTCCTGTCTTTTAGGGGTTTAGGGTTTAGCATTTAGGGCTGAGTCGCTGGGTTCAGGGTTCAGGGCCTATTGGAGTTCAAAGTAATGGCGTGTAGGGTTTGTTAGGGTTTGGGGCTTTCGGCCCGAGTTTATAGCATTTGGAGAGCTATTGAAAGGGTTTCAATTAGCGTCAGAGGCAGAACATAAGGATCCATATTATGGTAAGGTGTAACTTGGTGCGATTCTAGCATCCTACTTTTGTGTGGCATGGGATTTCGGGGCTTGGATCTAGGTTGGCAAGAGAAAAAGATATCACCCTAGGATACCCTAGGGAGATTCGATATCCTGAGACGCTGAGTACAGTGTCTTCTGTGTTGCATCATAGACTACATGCATGCGTGTGTGTGTGTGTGCATGGATATATGATGTGTTCACAGAGTGGCATTCACACAGAAACACATACATACACACATACATACGCACATACACGCACGTCACACACACACACACACGCATCTTTGAGCAATGTCTCCACATGCGCATGCACACACACACAAAACACTACCGACCTCTCTTTTGAAGCATCCTCGTAGATCCTCATCGTATGCTAGAATGCACCGTGGTACGGCATGGACACACTGTACAAATGCACCATGGTCCTAATTAAGTGGTTCGTATTGTTATGACACCCATTCAGCTGCACCATGTTTATCAATGACACAGCCGGTGCCTCAACAGCCTGCTGCCGCTTCGCCTCCACCTGCGGAGGTTGCGCATGGACTCGGTCGAACTGTCAACCAGATAAACTGTGACTTTAGACATGCAGGCCTCAAACCAGGGCTCAGGACATACATGTGTGTGTATGTATATATATATATATGTATATATATATAATAATAATAATATTAATAAAAATAAAAATAATAATAATAACAGAACAGAATGTGGTATAATATGAAATAATACCGTTCAAAATTATACATATACATATATAATATAACATATATATATATATATGTATATTTGTTTATTTAGCTACTTTACTTAATTATTTATGACTGATAGGCTTGAGGCTGATGTATTTGATGCACTGCAGCTTTGGAGGGCAAAGCGATTCCCCAACTTGATAACGTCAAACTATGGTGCGTGGGTGTAGTCAAACCCGGTAAACGGTAAACTTGTCTTCTAGCTTCTTTAAATCTAAAAATTTTCTCTGGCTGCAGGGACTGAACTACGTGTGCGAACGACTGTGTTTAGATGCACCAACTCATCCAGAATTTCAAGATGCATTGCACGAAGTCGGTCTGTTTCGGAAACGGTTCCGAAACAGACGCATACACTACTACCCGTGGTGAGGCCCAGCAGAAGTGGGAGCGGCCGCGTCAACGGTAGCGGTAGAAGTCGCCGTAGCAGCAGTCGCAGCAGCAGCAGCAGCAGCAGCAGCAGCACTAGTAGTAGTGGTAGTTGTTGTCGTCGTAGTCATAGTAGTAGTTGTCGTCGTCGTCGTAGTAGTAGTAGTAGTAGCAGAAGCAGCAGTAGCAGCAGCGGCAGGCATAGTAGCAGTAGTAGTCGTCGTCGTAGTAGTAGTAGTAGTAGTAGCATTAGTATTCACGCCATCATCCATATTATTTTTGTCATTAGTCGTAGTCGTAATCGTAGTAGAAAGGGTAGTGCACAAATCTCAAAGCATGACAGCCAATGGCCTGGCGCTTCTCCAATACCTCTCGGCCCTCTGTATTCATGTACTCCTGCATTCCATGCATGGGCTTTTCGGTCTGTTTGGCCTGTTTGGGTTTAGGGTTCAGGGTTTAGGGTATGTTTGGGGTGTGGGATCTTAACGTTTTCGGGTCTGCGGCATGGCTCTGGGTGTAAATATCTCTGGGAGCACCCAGCCTTTTCCCTTGCTAACCCCTGTATCTCCGCATCGACACCTAGGCTCACGTCTATGGTAAGCTGCATTGAACATCGAAGGTGGTGAAGGTGCTTGTTAGCGCGGTCGTGAAGTAATGTAATCATTCTTCCAAACTGTTCTGCTCACACCGTGGACATCTTGGAGTACATGATCAGTTTTGCGAAGTATTGCTGCCGTTGATCCTTACTCACCTGGGCATCCGTGTGTGTGTGTGTGAGAGGTTCAGACTCTCTGACCCTTCCCGAAGCTGCCAACGATGCTGCACAAGCGTGAGGTATGCGTGTACCTTCTGCCCATAGCTCCATACCTGTGCTGCTTGCTCGTGCAGGTGTCGCGAATGTGTGGTGTGTAACTGCATGGATGCATCTACATGGAAAGCACACTTATCTTAAGCCCACATTTCCATCTGAAAGCCTTGAGCCTTCAACCCTTAAACTGTGAATCCTTAAAACCCTAAACATCCTGAACTCATGCTAAGAGCCCTTCAATTGACTGCAAGCTGACAGCACTAGTGGCCCAAGCCTAAGTCTGTCAAGCCCCAAGCCGCTCACACTCCAAAGAGAACGTCACCCCGCCAACACCCTAAACCCTAAACCCTAAACCCTGAGCCCTAAACCCTAAACCATACACCCTAAACCCTAAACCCTGAGCCCTAAACCCTAAACCCTACACCCTAAACCCTAAGCCCTGAGCTCTAAACCGAAACCGAACGTCGGATCCTGCAGGAAGGAGTTCACGTCTAGGCCATTCCACGCGCTCTTGTTCTGTGCGAGGTAAGCCTGCGCCATTTAGGGCTTTGGGGGTTTAGGGTTTAGGGTTTTGGGGTTTTGGGGTTTAGGGTTTAGGGTTTAGGGTTTGGGTGGCTGAGAAAAAGCCTATATATCGGCTTCAGAGTTAAGAGATTCAGGATGGGCATGAAGGCTTAGGGCATCATCAAGCCTTGGCTTCTGAAATGCTCGAACCTCACAGTATCAGAGCTCTCAATCCTGGAGGGCAGAACCTGTCGCCGGAAAGCAATCATGCAACAACAAGGCCAAGGTAATCCGAGCCTTTAGCCCACTAAAGCCTCCAACAAACCGTACACAACTCACGGGTGCCCTGTGAATGCAGCCGTAGAAACCCATCATCAAAAACACGAATCCAGACGAATAATTACCTGTAGACCAAATCCCCCTATAGACAAAAATCTTATAGAACCTCAAACGGAACCCTTTGGAGGAACCCTACCCTAACTTTTCAGAAGAGGAAGCTGTGGGCTTCTGTCACACGTTCTATCTTGCTTTCGCGTTAAGTAACGGTCCGGAAAAGTGAAACACATAGCTTCCCGGATTCCCACAGCGTACGCCTACCCCTAAACCCTACACCCTAAACCCTAAAACCTTCCTAACTTTTAAGGCCCCTAAATTCCCCTGCGAGGCCTCGAAGGACTGCTTGTTGAAGCCCAGGCTTACAAGCTGCTGGAGCACGGTGCCCGTGGCAAGCCTTTAAGGCTTTTGGGTTTAGGTTTTCAGGGGATTCTTTAGGGTTTAGGAATTTAGGGGTTTAGGGCTTTGGGGCTTCGGGTTGGCATATACGGCTTCTATGAGGGTCTTGTGGTTGAAGCCGGTTGGGGTCTATTCTGGCATTTAGATATCTGCAGGGGCTTGATGGTAGCTATCTGAATTGGTGAGCCTTTCGCGTGACTTGGAGGATCGTCCTCGAAGTGAATGTTGGACAATTCCCCAAAACACTCTGACACTCCCGACGAACCCTAACTTCCTATACATGCATCCCTGTCGTTTTCCTTAT